CCAAAACCCAAAAAAAAAAAACAAAACAAAACAAAACAAAACAAAACAAAAAACCCGCGCTGGAGGAAAAGTGAAAAGTTCGACGTGAACGAGGTTATCATTCCGTTTTTAATTTTCAGCAAAAGGGTTTCTCAAATTAAAATTAGGTACATTTTTATACTCACATGTTTTTGTATCTCTACCTTGTTCTCTTCAACTCGGCTCCAACGCATTTGCAACCTTTTTCAGGATTGGACAAGAAATATACTAATATATAATTTTTAAATTCTTATTTAGCTATCCGGTTCTATAATTGACTTGGTGACCAGGCGCTATCGGTTAGACCTTTGACCCGGAGGCCAGCCCGAGACACTGCCCGGTCCGGATGAACACATTGTTTTCATGTGTACGAATAAGATTTAATCTATAATTAATTTTAAAGTAATAAAAAGAAGTAATCTCGACCGAGCGCCCTCTCTGACCAAAATCGAGTTTACCACCCGGCGAGCAAGCTGGCTCCCAAAACAATGCATCCAGATCTATATTTCCATATTCACACAACCTTAAAAATTCTAAAAAGAAAATAATAATTAAATATATTATTTTATATAACGGGATCGTAGCATCTCCCTTTATTTTTTATCTTTCTCCGAAAAATGCACCTCCTTCTCCAAAGAATAACATTTCCAAAGATCAGTTTACATCGTGAATTTATTCTTCAGTGCTTAACTGAAAGTCATGCTTTGAATTATTGATCTTAGTAATTTTAATGTATAAATGCTAACACAGAAGCAACCAAAAAGAAGAACTAATACTCAATCTTCTGCCCTGACCTGTATCTATATAACTGTACAGTGATATATACACAATGCAGGATCTCAAAAATAGTTGCTTAAAAAAAAGTATGGTGTGTGGTATTATGATATGGCCATCAAAGGGCTTTCTGGTCCAATCTTTCGTTCCAGTTCAGGCAACGAATCAAGCTCCGAAACCAATCGCCCGTTTGGTCGGATTTATTCACAGTCGGGAGTGGATGCTGGCTCATTGATATCCTAACCGAGTCTCCTCTCGAGAGCTGTTGCCTTCGCTTGCCGTCAAACGACACCCAAGCATTGCTCCGCGCATCATCCGGAATCTAACATGAAGTGATTAAAAAACTTGTGAAATAATAAAATGTTTAATCTTGTGAAATAATAAAATCTCAAGAGGAATATGCACAAATGATAAATAGTCTCAAGAGGAATATGCTGAAAATGGTTTTTGGACATATCGATGTGAATTTAGTGGGATGTCGATTTGTTGAGCAAGAGTGATGGAAAGAAACCCTTTTCTTCATTGATAACATTACAAAATAATTCCGGGATAATTACAAAAGTAAACGTTGCGGTTTTGATCTGATTGCGAAAAGAAAAATTAAACTTAAGTTTCTTTTGCGAACTCTCTTTACATGTGTTTCTCTCCTACAAAATCGCACCATGAAGAGGTGTTTGTCTCAAGACTCAAGCGGTATTCATATTTTTGAGTGATAACTGAGTTTGTTTGCAATGAGGCTAAATTTCAGCTGTACTTTTGGCAGTCATCCCCACTACATAATTATATCTAGCCCCATCTGTTGTGTATAGTTTCAAAATGAAGTAGCCTCATTAATAGGACATTAAGAGATTACAGAAAGATAAATTCTAATCAGAATTGTTTAGTTTCTTATTGTGGCAGTAAATGATACCTTTAATTCCAGCCGAGCAGAATCTGGAAGTATGACTGGTCTGAATGAGAGAGAATGTGGGCAAATCGGTGTGAAGAGCATACATGGAACATTTGGATGTACCTGCACATAGGAAGGTGGCTTATTTTACTTTACCGATCTGTTTCTAAAAGACCAGTAGCACAAGGTCAGCTACAAAAGATAGCTACATGCTTTAATTAGGTTGCACCATCCCTAATGAGGGCACAACAAAGCCCAGACACCTAAAACTGAAATCTTTTAAGTTTTTAGCATTCTCAGCCATATTCTCGCCTTTAAAATCAGTGCACTCAAATGTGCAATTGGAAGAATATATCAAGTTTCACCTTTCATGCGTCAAAGTAAAATCAATTGAACCAAAATTTCTTATCCTGCTATGGTCGCATTTCTTCTGATAGACAACAGTAGATCCAGTCAATCTTGAATCAATCATTGAAATTAAGCTGATTCTTGGACTTCCTTTCTTCCTACCCAAAGATAATGAAATTCACAAAGAGAACCCTACACTATCAAATTGTAAACCTGGACTATCCCATCGGTCCCAACATCCTTCCAGATGGAACAATATAAAGACCTTTTGCTTCCTCAGTCTAAAAGTTTTTATTGCCGGGCAATGTATAAGTGGAAAGGGAGTAATTTCATCTTGTCGGTTACGACAACTTAAGTTATGTCGTAAATCAGATTTAAGAATTTCAATCTTTGTCGTTATTATCACTTACCATAGAACCTCCAGCGGCTGTAGAATACGCTGTACTTCCAGTCGGAGTTGCAACTATAACTCCATCACCTTGGACCTATCAATACAACAACTGATGACATCACAAACATAGAAGCATTTCTTTTCTCTACTCTAAAGTCTTACTATACTTTTATACTAAATTGGAACCTTAAAAAATAGAAAGGGCATAAAATGTACACTTTGTATGAATTTCTGTATCCTGTTATTAAATAAACCCACCATACCTTAGTTATGAGGCGGTCATGTTCGTAACACTCGATCTTCGAAAGATAGGGATTAGACCCACGGTCAACAACAATTTCGTTCAAGACATCAAATATCTTTCCTGGCATAGGTTTCCCATTTCGGAATATCTGACAGTGGAGTCGCATTCTGAGGGTAATATAAACACCGTCAGCCGTGTTGTTCCCATGAATCACTTGCCTTAGATCATTCTTGAAATCATCAAACTGAAATAACAAAATTATATTTCAGGAAAATAAGTACTAGAGAAACTTGATGATTTCTCTTAGGGGCAATTGCAAAAGTACCCCTGATTAAGTTTGACCGAAGTACAAAAATACCCTCAGGAGTATATTTGTAAATTCAAAAGTCAGCTGGCTTTTGTTAGCAATAAGGTCAACATCAAGTAAGTCATTGATCCTTTTGTGTCATATGGGTTGAGAAAAAGGGACATACAGTATGGGAAGTGAGAAACCCTAACGATCCCAGGTTAAACGAGACAACAGGAGGAACAGCGCCCCTGAATAAGTTAGAAGCATGAAGTATGACACCATCTCCACCCAAGCAAGCTACAAGATCAACTCTCTCATGAAGGTCACTGCATTAGGAATATGACGGAGGATCCGTCAGCATAAACCACTCAACAAATGAAAATGAAAATTTTGACAAATTGATGACACATTAAAAATTTGAGGACCAAAATTTGAGTACCTTGTATCTTGACTGTAGAATGTCTGGATAAAACCGAATCCTGGAATCCTAGCAAAAACATCATGAACCTCTGGTTCAACGAGAACATTCATCTTCTCCTGGTAATATAAGAATGAGGCAACCTGAAGGAAACACAAACCTCAAAGTTATGGTGTTAACTGAAGACACACTTTTCTAAATTAAGACAATTCTTCCACAAAATAACTACCAAATAATAAATTTAAGAGAAACAAACTACAATTAGGAAATATCGATAATACCTCAAGGAAAAATGGGGATAAAAGGGAGAACAAAAGGGTTTACCTCTTTAGCTTCCTCCATGAGTTCTTCGCCCAGCTTCTTCAACAACAATACAGTCTTTGGTGTAGATTTCCACAAGAGCATCTGCTGCTGAGTGCTCGGATGAGTGAACGCCAAGGACGACTCAGTCACCTTTTCTCTAGTGCAAGAAAAACCATCTGTCCTCACTAAGAACATCTCCGCTTTCTTTCGGGACTGCAATCTCACGACCCCTGTTGCTGAAGCACACATATTTCCTTCGAGTAAATCCATGTTCTCATCATCTGAAGAGATGTAGCTCATGACACCAGTCCCGGTTGGTCCAGTAACCATACTGGACATGGCATTTTTATCTAGGCCATTTCTTGTGCTTACGGAACCATTTTCTTTACTCTTTTGGAACTCAGTATCATTTTTGGCATTATCCGTATGATTAGAGCGAACTGTTGGAGACTGATACGACCCGTTAGTGATAGCTGCAGTCTCTGGGCCCAGTGATGGCTTCACACTTTCAAGCGATCCATTCATACTCTCTTTGTTATTAAGGCTTGTATTAAAGTTGGCTACTTTTTGAAAGACACTCCCATTGTTCTTGTACTGCAAAGCAGATAGCATATCCAATCTTTTCTTTTCGTAACTGAAGTATGTTCCTGGCGAAACCTTTTTATTCGTGAAAAAACGGGACATTGCTTTTCTGGAGAAAATATCCGGAGGAGGCAGCTGAGACTCCAACGGCTTCACATCTAAAGAAAAGTCCACTGTCGACTCTACTCCACCATAAACACCAGTCACAACAGTATCCACACTGGTCGTTACAGGATTATTGGATCTTTCTATGCGAGTATCCTTATTCTGAGTTGATGGAGGGTCCAGATTATTCAAAGAGACATCAGATTTTTGTGGGACCAGCCCATTTCCATTATAAGACGATTTACCATCTTCAAAACTTATGGAATCTTCAGATTCCCGAATGCTTTGAATCCCCCTTTTATTGGACGCAACTCGATCCACATAATGCCTCCACCTAGATATCATAGACGACGTCCTCCTTCTTCCTTCCTTACTGTGTACATAAATCGGTCGCTTACTTGAATCGGACACTAAATTAACAAATAGAGCAACCTGCTCCTTGGAAGGCGAAGTCCCAACTTCCACAGGGAGATTGATCACCTCAATCTTCCCAGATGAGACAGCTACGTCCAAAATGGACTTGTAAAAGTTGTCCTTCACTATTTCCGCCCTGAGATCGATAATCGTTCTGAACCCCTTCTCAAGCAGCCACCTCAGACTCTCTTCAGTCACCTGGCCACCTTTCCAGAAAGCAACCTCTAAATTTTCTGAATGCGCTTCATCTTTTGAGTTGGATAAATAAACCGGGCCCCAATTGGCAAACAGTGTCTGGCAAGGGTATTCGTCCCCTCTCGGGAATCCGGAATCGTAACACACGTTTTTCAATCTCTGCAATTTTCTCCAGACATTCAAACTCCGTTCGTCACCGGGTGTCAGATAATTTTCTAATGCCGCGTGCAAGCTCTCGCAGTAGCTCTTCATTTCCGAACGGAAGTTCGCAAGGGGAGGGACATTGTCGTCCATTATAGTCTTATCCAAATCGCGAAAGGAATTCATTATGGAGGATCTTCCAACCAGAACATCCTCTCTCCCTTTATTCAGAAGGCACACCATGCAACCAAGAACAGAAACTATTTTGTCTTCTAACAACGGTTTATCCTCAGATGGCATGTCATATGAGACGCTGCATTCTCCAGTTAAAGGGTTGCACAATGCATCCATTAAAGCGTTGTGAAAACGCTCGGCTGCCCTGAAAATTCTGCAGTAGGCCTCTACCTCGGCTATATCTCCGGGAAGGGGTCCCACCCAAGGTATTTGCGATGATTCATGGGCGTGAATGTTCTTCACATTCATGAAAAAATTAAGTCAATACAAGGCATGAAAGTAGCAGTGACTATTTCAGCATAATCCCCTCAAAACCCGTAATTAATCTCAATCCCAAAAAAAAACTGTAAATTCGACAAGAAAAAATAAAAATTACGACAAACACGATGAGCAGTGAGCTGATCAGATTCACTAGCCATTTCAAAAAAAAATAAAAAATAAAAGAAAAAGATCAAAGCAAACCTAATTTTCAAGCTAAAGATTAAACAGCATACTCTTCAAATATCAAAAGCCCTAGATAAATCTACCAAACACTGACCTGCGAGTCGAGGCCAATGTTAGCTGATAGGGAGCTGGAGAGCTGAGCACTGACGAGAAGCCTGAAACGACGGCGTTCCAGCTGCAGCCATCTCTGCTTCCTCTTCTTCAGCTTCGGAGGCTGAAGCCCGAGGCCCGGCACGGAAATTCCGACGCAACTGAGCTGCCTGCAAAACGACGCCGTTGGGAGTGATTGATTCATGTGGGCGTAGCATTGGCAATTATGATTAGAAAAATAACAAATTGATGCAGCCATGCCACAATAAAATATTAGAAAATTGTAAAAAAATGGCTGTGGTTTTTGATTAAATTATTGAATCTTGACAATCTTATTTTATAATTTTTATTTCAGTTTTGGTGAGGAAAGTTAAAATATATGTATATGGTATTTTGAAATAAAGTATGCATTTTTTTAAACTGTTGTCTTGGATATATTGGAGAGAAAAAAATTAAGATGAAAAAAATGAATTTTTGTGGATGGTATCAAATATCAACGGGCTGTTGTGGACAAAAGATAACGGGACAGCACAATTTTGGAGCTAAAAAAATGCGAAATGAGATACAATAATGTAGGAATATCAAAAAATATACATTATAATTGTATGTATTTCCATGATTTGATAGAAATTATGATGAGTCGAAGACTTGGATCTAGGTTGAGTCGGCTATAAAAGATTTTCGATAGTCCTAGAGTTGTCGATTACCTACAGAACAAGTGTCGGGTGGTGCTCGGTGTGAGCACTCTAACGCTCAAGTCATAAATGAAAAGAAGATGGTAATGTATTATGTATATAGAGAATTATAAAGAGTGAGTAGAGAGTTTGCAATTGTACACCCTCCCCCATTTATAGAAAGAGCACCTGGGTGCTGAAGATTTAGCTGTCGAGTACCTACGGTCACTCTGCCAAGAGGTGCCCAGAGTTGCCCAGCTACTCGACATCAGTCCTTATCTGCTTTGTATTCATCCTCATCCTAATTAAATTCATTCTTATTCGAATTAGATTCATTCGTATCTTTGATTAGGTCCATTACTTAGGTCTTCGTATCCACAGGTCATTCCTTTACTTAGCTCGTCTTGTTGTGTACTCGCAGGTCTATTTCCTTCGGTCGTCCTGTTGCATATGTGTAGGTATCTTCTTTCCCTAGATCGTCCCGGTGTGTATTTGTAGGTCTCTTTCCTTAGGTCCTTCTCTTTGGTGTTAGTAGGTCCCAAGTATTTAGGTTGGTCGTTCTCCCAACGAGCTTGCCATTGTCCAAGTCCTATAGGTCGTTCGACCTAATGTTGAGGCATATGGCCTGTTTAGCTATTATATTTCCCATTTAGCTCGCTCCAGACCCATCTTAGTCATTTAGGTGGCCTTTATGGTTCATCATCGACTAGCTCGACATGTTGAAGGTCAATAGGTCTTCCTCATTGATTAGCTCGACATATTGAAAACCAATAGTCTTCTTAATTGATTAGCTCATGAACTTGTTAGAGGTAAATAGGTCTTCCTCATTGATTAGCTCGGCCTATTGGAGGTCAATAGATCTTCTTCATGGGTTAGCTCATTAGCTCGACCTGTTGAAGGTCAATAGGTCTTATTCATGTATTTGTTCATTAGTTTGACCTGTTGAAGGTCAATAGGTCTTCTTAATTGATTAGCTCATTAGGATGATCTGTTGAAGGTCAATAAGTCTTTTTCGTTGATTAGTTCAATCACCTTCTAATTTCTGTTCTAAGGTGAAATAGGTTGGTTGTCCTGTCATTAATTTGGATGATTTGACTATTATTCCTCATATCTTCTCAATCTACTCGAACTCAATCACTCCGAAGTGGCTCGACTGCTCAACTCGAGCTATTTGAAGATGGATTCTAGTTAAGTCGACCGAGCTATAAGATTTGCCATTCAGTAAAGTCGTAGTTCTGGTTCAGCCAAGCTATAGCTATATCAAATATATTCCCCTTTTATCTTTTTTTCCCCTTTCATCAATCTTATCAAAACAATTCAAAAGTATAATTCAATGTTATTACATAAACAAAATTTACTATTTATTCACTTATATTTTTAAATATCAATCATTTATAATCGAGTGTCACAAAAAAAAAAAAATATCATTTTTCTTCATTATTTATGTTAGTGTGTCATTTTTTTTTCCAAAATAATTTATATCAATCAGCTTTTCAAATGCTCCAACTTGCTAAGTGGACATATATATTGTCGTAATGATATTTTCTTTCTCATCTCTAAATGTCAAGCATTTCTATTTTCAAATATTTTGACAAGGCTTGAGTTTGGGCAGTTGTTTCACCTGCATTTCTTCCGTTTATGGGTTGGGGATGGATGGGTTCCTTCGATCGAGCTTGGATTTTCTTTTTTGGTGGAAATGAGTTAGGTTAACCGGTGTCTTGTTGGTGGAGGCGATGATACCTGGTCTCTAATTGTTGTTGTTTGGTGGTGTTGCCTATGGAAAGTGGCTTCGGTTTTGTAGGTCTGAATCTAGTCATCTTAGCCTTTTATCAGGAGTTGGGAGTTTCTAGATCTGTACTTGGGCTGGAGTCTTGTCATTCTTGGTGGTCGCCTCTGAGAGTTCCTTCGTGAATGGAAGTTCGGAGTAGTTTGCCTAATTAAAAGGGGAAAAAAAAGAACGGAGAAAAAAGTAAAAATGCGGCGATGATCAGAAATTTTAAGAAACCACTTGAAAACACCTGTTTATGTTTTTATTCACTAACCAAATTTTGTTTTTATGCAAATTATGCATATACAAATATTGTACCTTGTCATATCATGCTTATGTTGCAACAAGAAGCTCGGAACAAATTCAGTGCCAAGGAACTTCGATAAGCCGATTATGGCTAACAAAATCTTGGAACCTTATGTAAATTGTTAAGCAAACTAGTATAATATCCTTGTGCTTTAGATGATGTAAGTGTTCGACATTAGTTTTTGTTTGTGTAAATAAGACTCGTCTTCTATCAAACTAAATATTCGTTACTTTCAAAAATCAGCACTTCTCCTACTTTTTTATGCACATTTAAATAAATATCACATTTATTGTTCTACAACTAAGTATACTCTGAATCGTAAAAAATTATCGATCGATTATGTGTCAAGTTGTGGAACAAACTTCAAAGTCACAAAGTTGTATACAAGTTGTAAGAAGATACTTACTTAGTAGACCTAAAAAAGTTTCTCTAAACCTACAAAATTCTCATTCCCCTACAAATTCATGAATAGTTCAAAAGTCTCATTCTTTTGGGTTGTCTTTTTGTTTCACAATATCTTTATAAGATTGTACTTTGTGCTCCATCCATCAATTGGTACTTGATAGTGGGTCTTTTCTTTCAAAAAGGGATGGTGTTCTTTTACTTGAGCATAGGACCTTTATAAAGATCAAACACTTTATTTGTAGCATGGCCCATGTTAATTCCATAACTACAATCATACCCCCCACCAATATTGAATAATTTGTTTGAGATTTCCATATCAAATGGAATGAAAAATGTGGCCCATATGATTATTAATTTATTTTTATTTTTTTTTTTAACTATTTTCACAACTTGCCTTTCATGAATGTTTGGTCATATTAGAGTGTAACATTATTAAAGAATTATTGTAATTTGTGGAGAACATTGATTTGGTAGTCACGGGTTGCTAAATGCTAATAGACACCACAAAGAACAAACTCAAAACATTAGAAATATTTTAAGTTGCACCAATAATTACAAAATTAATCAAATTTGTTAATGACTATAAGGGCTTAATAGTCTAATTGGGTTTCTACCATTTCAACTTATAGAATTAGATTTAAAACATTACATTGGAAAAATATGGTACATCCTTAAATTGCACATTAACAACCCATACATAACACCCCCTTTTATACCTTCTTGCCAACCCTTTTTAGGTTTTGTCATCAACATCTAAAATCAAACTATCCCCACCCATTTTTTTTCAAAGTCTCTTCACATTCTTGAAAAAGATTCACTAATTCTTGTAGAAAATCACACATTTCACCAAAATGATCATCATCAATAACTAGTCTTGAAAGGCTTGTAAGTCTTGAGATCACCAACAACTCCGGCCACCGACCCCACGCCAGCCGCGATCGATATAACCAAACACGCCATACTAAGAATTTGAAGGCACACCCACCTCGAACTCCCCTTGGGTATCCTCTTTTGCACGATGTACATCTCGACCGGGAAATAAACCGTCAACGGCCAAAACCCTAAAGCCCCCAATATCCCCACGACATCGTTGAAAAACGGCATTAGCATCGAGATCACGGTCGTGATCACCACGAAAATGGTCCTCCAAACAAGCCTAAACAAGCTGAGCTTCAAGGGCTTGTACCCGGGAATTGGGATCGAGATTTCTTTTGTGATGAATTTGTTATCGGGAAAATAGTTGGATGCCGTTTTCTCGATGAAGGCAAAGAGGGGTTGGCAATAGACTTGGTAAGCTCCAATGAGGTGGATCACAATTGCGGCATTCGCTATGTCGAGAAGCCAATAAGGATTGTAAAACCCGAAGCCCGTGAGGAGGTTGCCCGGAGACAAGTCCCCGAACGCCGCGTACCCGAAGCAACCGCAAAGCATGTAGAAAATTGTGGTGACGGCCACGCTTATGAAGGTCGCCTTTTTCATTGTCTTGTGCTCAGCCGGTGGGGATTTGATCGTATCCTGTAAAATTACAAAGTAATATAAATATTTACTGGTAAAAAAAAACGTGTATTTTTTTATACATTTATCAGCTTGTATTTTTATATGTTTAATTCTTTCGCGCTTATATATTTTTTGACTTGTATATTTCTTTGGATGATTCTTGTACTTTGATATTTTTCTGTTTTATTTTTAGACTATTGGAGTATTTTTCACGGGCTGCGAAAGAATGTGTAGGCAGTATGGGGTGTGCCCCAAATAACGATGTCGAGTGAAATCAAATTCGACTTCAAACGTCAAATCTTACTTTGAGTTTGATTTTTACGCATACATAAACACACATTTACGACTTAAGTCATCAAATATTCTTCATTCAAGCTCCCATGAATTTTCAGGTCCGGTTCAAAATTGATGTTTTTTGGGAAAACAATATATATACAAGTAGAGAGTAAGGAAAAAAATTAGTTTTGTACCTGAATTTCAATAAGGATAAGAGAGTAAGAATAGGCAAAAGCTATGGCACCAAGAGCTTGAAAGCTTCTCCAAATCTTTTGCATCTCCGTGATCGAGCCGGAGGCGGTGGCCGTGCCAATGCTAATTCCGGTAAGGCTTCCCCTGAATTCACCGGATTCTGGAAAATAATTTTCTCAATAATTCAGCAAAATTTCTTAAAGATGCAACATTTTTATTAGTAAGGAATTTTCGAAACCTGCGACTTTTGCGATGCCAAGGCCTAAGCCGATCGTGGAGTAAGTAAACGACATAATGGCAGCAACAATCGAAAGCCACCAAATCTGATCGAAATCTGGGATTTGTGAGAAAATTATTTCAATCACACCAAATGCAATCATGTAAGGATTGCTTGAAACTCTGCAGGGACTATTGTCTCCTCTTGTGTGGAAACAATTAGACCTCTCAATTGCCCTGTCACATTTTTCACATCAATTTATCAAAATTAAGCTTAACAGTAATCAATACTATAAGATAGTAAAAGTAGCATTGAGTTGGAAAATAAATAATCACTACAATGATACCAAAAAATATAGTTTTACTATAAAATAAATTGGGTTCAATAATTTTCAACATTAACTTGTAAAAGTATGACATTTAAACATAATCATGAGAGATGCTACAGTCTCGTTGTGGAACCATCTGGTCGGGGTTTATCATGTAAACCGTCCGTCGGGGATAGTTGATCAAACAATTACAAACTCCGATAGAATAGTTCAGTAACGGGACCGTAGCATGACCGTAGCATTTTCTAATAATCAGATCTATTTAGGATAAAATCTTTTCATTTAGAATGATTTATACTTACATCATACTTATAGATGAAGCAATTGTGTATCCAATAGCAACACCAAAAAGATTCACATACTGAATTGCCCCACAAACCTTCACCTGAAAACCACCTGAAAATTTTTCAAGAATTTCACATTAAAAAAAAAAGAAAAGAAAAAAGAAAAAAAAAATTGATAATACATTAATAAATAAAAAAAAGGCAAAAATTACCTAAATTGGCCCTAACAGCATCCATGTAAGTGTAGTTTCTCTTGCCGTTGTCCGGGTCGCCGGCCCGGTAACAGGCCGCCAGAAGGGCAGAAGTGTAATAAGTCACGAACGAGAAAAGGAACAGCATGGTTGGGCCTGCTACCCAACCCAACTGGGCCGTGGCCCATGCCAGCGATAGAACGCCGGATCCAATCACAGCTGTTATGATATGAGCACTCGCCGTCCAAACAGTCCCTATCAAAATTAACCAAAAAAAAAAATATCGAAAATATTAAAATAAATATATAATAATATGTTTTATAAGAAAAATGCTAAGGTCCCGTCGCGAAACGATACCGTCAGCGTTTTTCACGATACCGTCAGCGTTTTTCATGGATAAGTCATGTAAGTTATGTTGTGTGGACGATAACAAATCGAACCATTCCGTCAACAGGACTTTAGTCGTTCCCGTTTTATAATATATATTATATTATATTAAATAAGGGAAAATTACCAGTTCTTTTGAGCTTGCCATCATCATCATAAAGCTTGGAGCCAGGCTGAGGAGGGACATTAAGGGAAACATCAAAAACTTGGTGCTGCTTTGTGCCTGTGCTCTCACTCATCTTTTTTTTTTTTTATTTTTTTCTCAATATTTTCAAGTTAGAGAAAACTGAAAATGGTACAAAAATAAAAATAAATTGAAAATCAAATGGAAGATAAATTTTTAAAATATGGCACAATTTTCAAAGGGTTAGAGAAAGTAAATAAAGATTGAATTTTTATTTTTTATTTTTTTTTCTTGATTTTTTTGGGCTTT